TGTGACGGTCAATCCCACTATTCGTTGTTAAAAGAGTAGCCTTCCCTTTAGTCTTACACTGCTAAATTAGGGACGGCTATCTCAGATAGCCCTCAAAATTCATAAGAAATATCAAATACTTCTCTTCCGCTTTAGGTGTAAGTGGATTGTAACATTAAACTTTATTACACCATAGGAAAGCGACGTTACATAAAGTTGTTACGTTACATAGGGTTATGTATTATCTAGCATGATTGGGTTAACTGGAACTGAAAACGTTCAAGTTTAATGGCGTCTTACACATTTCGGTAACGCGAGATTAAAAACCATTTCATCTTTTATTTAAAAATCAGTATCCGAAAAAAAGTGTTGTTTTTTTTGTAATTTACTGTAAGTAGTAAATTTAATATAAAACATTTTCCCAGCAACCGGTGGCATGGTTATACACTACAAAACCGAGTTTGTTTACTTATAGCAGAGGCAGCATGATTTGATTTAGCTTAACAGATGTCAGCTCTTCTTCACGTTAACTAATTACTGTCATCTTCAGACTTGTGATATTATGTCAACAGTCTTTAAACATTACACTTTCCCTGAAAGTAAGTATTTATATGCTTAATTCAAATGATTCATGAACTCTTTATAGAACTCTGCATGTATTTGCTTATAAACTAGATGTATCCTGTGATTTTTTCGATGATTTTTTTTCTCCTACTTTCAAGAGGACGCTGATAAGAGAGCCCTTTTAACAGATGAGCCCTTAGCAATGGCCGTTTCTTTGACTAGCGTCTTTAAAGGCATCTAATGGTATTAGTATTGGATTACGAAAAGCTCTAATCCACAGACTGATTTTGTTGCTGTTGTTGTTTGTTTACTATTAAGCACAGAGCTACGTAATGGACTATCTGTGCTCTGCCAACCGAGGGTATTGAAACTCGAGATTTTTAGCGTTATAAGTCCCCAGACTTCCAGCTGAGCCACCGGGGCCCCAAACTTTGGTGACTATCGAGTGAAAAGACAAATGGGCAGGCTTATAAAATACAGCAGACATCAGACTGTTCCATTTGAGCGTTAGAATAAGTTAGGATGTGAATATCTCCTACTGTACAGAACGAAGGATAAAAACTGTCGTATGGTGGTCAAAAATTAGTATGAAACTGCTTATCTCAGATGGAAACAGGAAATTATGCAAACTGTGGACAACAGATTAGTGGAAACGTGTGATGTTGGCTCTCTAGTAGCAGTTCTCCATATTAGTGTTTGACAGCATGATAAAAATATCACTTAAGACAGTTGACCTTGTTTGTGTTCTTTCAACAATGCTAGGGATATTCACGTGCTAAAAGGTTGTTCTTTGCTGTCTCTAGAAGAGTGGATAACATCCAAAGTGTACCTATAGATTTTTGCTGGCCATATCCACTCCACAAGTCTTCAATTACAATAATGAAACAATACATCGAGATCGTATAGCTAGAAATTGATCCTAAGAGAACGACAATGACCCTAATCACCTTCTCTGACCATCGTGGTCATTGGATCATAATCGTAATGAGCACTTCTTGTCTGAACTTAAGCGTCTTATTCAGGATTGTAACCGTTGACGACACCTGTTTACCAACTGCGGACCGTGATCTTCGAAAAATCATCTAAGATCAAGTAAAACACCTTGCGGCGAACTATGTAATCTATGCTGAATTCGGTGAAAAGTGACCCAACCCAAAATTGTGTGACGTGCATAAAAAGCGGACAGTAAATGTATTTAGTGCATAATATTACCTCAAACTCCATTATAAGAAGTAGAATAGTGATTTTTTATCCTCGTGTGTCAATTGGTTATAACGTCAACAGATTGTGTATACTACACTAAAGATGACAGCAAGCCTTAAAACCCATGTATTTATATTATAATATTTCAACATTAACAGACTGTAGACATAACATTAAATATAACAGCAAGTCTTGAACCCATGTATTCATTTTATAATATTTCAACATTAACAGACTGTAAACATAACATTAAATATAACAGCAAGTCTTGAAACCCATGTAATTATTTTACAGTACTTAAATATATAACAATAAAGGAAGCAGTAAGGTGTAGTTCTACTTAAATGACTGGCCCGTCTAGAAATTTGGCTATTCTCGTATTCTAATGGAGTGGTACATATTATGTTATAAATCACAAACGTATATTGTCGAAACTCAACTGTACATAACATTTCCTATAACACAAAACACGATTTTGTTTGTGATAACTGAAGATTGAAACAACTAAGGACGCTAACGTACATTAAGCTCACATCTCTTACATACAAACATTGTACGTAATGTTTTATTATGAGTATGTTACAAAAACATGTAGGTAAACATAGCGATAGAAGTGTATTTTACACACATGTACACGTTGTTAGACATAGCTGTAGCTCAGTGTATTTTACGTACATGTACACGTTGTTAGACATAGCTGTAGCTCAGTGTATTTTACATACATTGATACGTGGTTAGATATAACTGTAGCTGGGTACATTTACACGTTGTTAGACAACTGTTGCTGTGTGTATTTGACTACATTTACACGTTGTTAGGCAACTGTTGCTGTGTGTATTTGACTACATTTACACGTTGTTAGACAACTGTTGCAGTGTGTATTTGACCAAATTTACACGTTGTTAGACAACTGTTGCAGTGTGTATTTGACTACATTTACACGTTGTTAGACAACTGTTGCTGTGCGTAATTGACTACATTTACACGTTGTTAGACAACTGCTGCTGTGTGTATTTGACTATATTTACACGTTGTTAGACAACTGTTGCTGTGTGTATTTGACTATATTTACACGTTGTTAGACAACTGTTGCTGTGTGTATTTGACTACATTTACACGTTGTTAGACAACTGTAGCTGAGTGTATTTGACCAAATTTACACGTTGTTAGACAACTGTTGCAGTGTGTATTTGACTACATTTACACGTTGTTAGACAACTGTTGCTGTGTGTATTTGACCAAATCTACACGTTGTTAGACAGTTGTAATTGAGTGTATTTTATACACATTTACACGTTATTATGCATAGCTGTAGCTGAGTACATTTTACATATACTGACACTAGGTTAGATATAACTGTAGCTGAATACATTTACAAGTTGTTAGACAGCTATATCTGGGTATATATGACGTACATTTACACATTGTTAGACATAGCTGTAGATGAGTGTATTTTATATACATTTACACGTTGTTAAACAGATGTAGTTGGATATTTTCTTTTAACACTGATACGCGGTTAGGTATAACTAACTGAGTGCATCTATACACTTCAGAACGAGGTTAGTCACAGCTGTAGCTGAATATATCTTGGATAGATTTGCACAGTGCAAGGCATTGACCTAACTGGGCATATTTTACATACATTTATGCGTTGTTAGACATAGCTGCATCTAGGTGTATTCTTACACGTACGAACTTGAATTTAGAATGCTTGTACCTTAATTATTTATTCCATCTTTAAGTGAAAGAAGAACTGAACATGTGATTACAATAAAGTTGAAAGAACGTTTTGAACAACTATTTGTTTTCCCCAATTGTTATAAGGTTTTGTACTGTTATATACATATCGAGAAACGAAATTTTGCCACTAAAATATTAAAATATGTCAGGTGATACTTTGAAGATGTTTAAATACACGCTTGTGAAGTGTTTTTAGTTAAAGGCTGTGTATAACTAACATGTTAAAAATAAAGATGAATTGCTTTTCTTACGCATTTTAAACGGTTCTTTGAAGCCACATAGAAGATACATTTGTGAGGTGTTTTCAGTAAAATGTTGAAGAACGACAGGACGTTTTTGATAGTTTCTATATAACGTAAGATGAAGAATACTTTTTGCTTTAATATGATTAGCTATCATTAGCCCCCAGTTTAGCCTCTTGTTTGTAGTTTACTTAATAGTAACATGAAATTAAACGCCTTTCCGAAGTCGATGGGCGTTAATTTTTCTAACAATCCAATATCTTTTGTAGCAAAGTAGTGACTAGTTTTTACTCCAATGTTTGGACGAAAAAAATCGGTGTTAATTTTGCTTTGATCTTCTGCATTTTGATATGCACGTGTTTCATATAGCAATAATCAATTATTGTGTTATTTATGCAAAGCATATATACAAAATATATTATTTTATCTTCATTGATAGGTAGACTTAAAAAAGCTTTGGTCTTCAAACAACATTCGACCAGTTGGATGAAATTACCCATACCCAGCGTGTCTTCATCGTTAACTAAACATGTCATCCGTTCCGAAAACGACGACCTATGATCATCTGGTTTTGACAATCACTCCTATAACTTTTTTTTGTAGTCATCTGGAATTATAGCTTCTTACAGCACAATTCTATCAAGCCCAGTGATCAGTTAACATCATGGACACCAGAAAGAAACTTCGAAGACGATGGAGGAATCCAATTGCAGTGTTTGCAGTCGGAATTTTTCTGGTAGGATTACTGTCATATACTCATCCTCCCGGCAGGGGTTGTACTCACAGCGGCACTTATTCAAGAATATTGATTGCCGAAAACGAAGCACTGAGGGACCGTAGTTTTGTTCACCATTTCAGGGAGTTATTGAACATCGAAGAAGAAGGTCTCAATATAACCAAACCTCCGCCTCAGTTTCCACCAGATTTTTTCACTGAGACTCAAAGAAAACATGGCGCCGTAATCTGCCATGTGATTGGCCTGGCTTACATGTTTGTAGCTTTAGCCATTGTCTGTGATGAGTTCTTTATACCAGCCCTAGAAGTAATCACCGATAAGCTTAAGATATCTGAAGACGTTGCCGGGGCAACGTTCATGGCCGCAGGAGGTAGTGCCCCTGAGCTTTTTACTAGCATTATTGGAGTTTTTATCTCATTCGATGATGTTGGCATCGGTACAATTGTCGGATCTGCAGTGTTTAATATTCTCTTTGTTATCTCGATGTGTGCCATATTTAGCAAATCGATCCTGAAACTGACATGGTGGCCACTGTTTCGAGACGTCACTTTCTATTCCATTATCCTGATCATCCTGATAATGTGTTTTCGTGACAATGTCATATACTGGTATGAAGCCGTGGTGCTCTTAATGTGTTACGTCAGCTATGTAACATTCATGAAATTCAACGAACCAATAGAAAGGTTGGTTAAAAAAGTACTGAACAGAAATAAAGTTACAAGAGTGAGCAGTACAGACCATCTGATGCCCAGCGTAAGTACAAATTATTTAAAGTAAGACCTTATATTGAAAAACATAGTTTTACCTTCACTAGAATACTGGGAAAATGTATTTTTATATTTATGTCATTTGTCAGTGTGTAGTTAAGGATGAATCTCACAACTTTTTTCAGTATGCGTGTGTTTGAGAGCAAAACCACAATGGGCTATCTGCTATGTCTATCATGCGGAATCGAACCCCGGATTTCAACGTTGTAAGTCCGTAAACTTACCGCTGTCACACCGGAAAATTTTTATTTAGTAATATTAATTAAGTAATAAATGTATTTTTATAGCATATATTTTGGGTGAAAACAAAACCAATTTTTTTCCATCTTTACCCCCAGAATTTTATGTATACTGCTAGCGAGCTTACACCTTAGAAACTTATAACCAACATTTCCATAAAAACAATGCTTATCCCATGTTGTAAAGATTCGTTTTCAGAATTTCGTAAATTATTTATCAAAACTAATATGTGATATCTTTATAATAAATAAGTTAGTTTTTCATATGTGATGTCTTTATAATAAATAAGTTAGTTTTTCATATATGATGTCTTTATAATAAATAAGTTAGTTTCTCATATGTGATGTCTTTATAATAAATAAGTTAGTTTTTCATATGTGATGTATTTATAATAAATAAGTTAGTTTTTCATATGTGATATCTTTATAATAAATAAGTTAGTTTTTCATTTAAGGCCAAGTAATCGCTTTAATGAAGACGTCAGTAATATCTAAGTTATAACATCACTTGTAATAATCATTAAAATATTTTTTTTAAATTGATTTAGAAAAAGAAGATATACTGACACGAGTTGTAAATCATGTTATTGTATTTTTAAAGTATAGTTATATAGTATAGTTTGGTCTCTGAGTGAGGCATTTATCAGGACGAAAACCGACATGACGTCAACTCCAACACTTCAGGCGGATGCAATTCATAAAACTTTAAATCCAATAAGCTCGTTAGTTTTTACAATTTCTTATTCCAGTTGTTACTGGATAGACTTTGTATATTGTCCACAGCACTTCATATATATATATATATATCACAACGAGTTACTCTTAGACGAGACACTTTCTATACGCATCAAAATGTGCTTGTCTGTCAAAAATTCACTTGATATATATATATATGTATATGTCGAAAAGTGCTACTTTCACACGAAACACATGATATATATCAAAACACACTCACAAAAGTCACTTAATATATATATATATATATCAAATTATAGTATTCTCACACGAGACGTGAAAATAAATATGTTTTACGTTAGACAATTGGACTTTAACATACTCGTTATAATAACAAACACGTGACTCTGTAAACATAAAACTTAATATAAAGATAACAATAAGCTCACAGATTACCATAATTCATTTGTTAATTTTTCGTTTCTTCTCAGATACATTTAGTCTCTGCGACTTAAAGAAAGAATCGGTGAATGAAACAAAGGCCTAATCCATTTATTTAATTCGCTATTAGTAGATTAGATGCCAAAAAAACAAACAATTAGTAATGGAATTTAAACCAATTTTAGGTTTTTTATATAAAGTCGTTTACTCACCACTAATAACGTAAACTACCTTATCTGTTTGGTTACTACGTGGCAATACCGTCACAATTAATTATGAATTACTTTTATCGGATTTGTTGGCAATTTGTTTCTAAGTTTTTCTTTCCTTCACCAAAATGTGTAATTTCTAAATAGTCTTCGTTCCACCGGAATTTTATTCTGTCTGTTAATTACTATTACGTAACCTAATAATCAATTCTCTTTTTTGGTTATTCCTTACAGCATTACGGTGTAGTTTTCTGTACTGTGTAGGGAATACAGAGCGGTAGGTTTGTGTCTGTATAATGAAACTTGTAACATCCAAGTAACATACATCCTGTTGAGAACGTATAAACAGCATTACGATGTAGTTTTCTGTACTGTGTAGGGAATACAGAGCGGTAGGTTTGTGTTTGTATAATGAAACTTGTAACATCCAAGTAACATACATCCTGTTGAGAACGTATAAACGTAGTTTGCTCTACTGTGTAGGAAATACAGAGCAGTGATTTATATAGGGATATTCTTAACTAAGAATCCTGAGTTGATGACTAGTTCTTCAATCGATGTGAAGCTGTCGTTACGAAACAAAGATAGTTCTAAGTGTTTTACTTTAAGACAAACACTTCAGTTGTTTCTTTACGAGGAATTACTAAAATAAAATGACGTTATTTCAAACCACAGAAAAGAAACTGTTCTCTCCTGACCGAATTGGCTTGGATACCTTTGCTTCGAAAACTCATAGTTTCTAAAGTAACCGATAACGTTATTATATTTTGAACGTGCATCTTAGAACTGATTATTGTATATTGTAACAGGAGTGGTTGGTTTTATGTTTTCGTTTTTTTTCTTTTGATTCACATTAGAAATATAAAACTTTCATAGTTAGATTTATCTTTCGACAACTTTTAAATATAAAGAGCCAATTATCAAAAATAAAATACATTTTAAAAATATCGAAACAATTTTTAAGTTTAGCCTTAAGTATATTGTGACACGGTAATCGAACTACTGAATATAAACAAGGTTTCACTTTCTTGCTTTTCAAGAAAATCTGTTTTCTGGGTTTTCCAACTAGCTCCTAATGGTTGTTATGTGACCTTGTAATGTCACCGTCAA